CCCCCCCCCCCCCCCCCCCCCCCCCCCCCCCCCCCCCCCCCCCCCCCCCCGCCCCCCCCCCCCCCCCCCCCCCCCCCCCCCCGCCGGCGGGGGCCCCGCGAGTGCCCTTAAGAGAAGACTATAGTAATTAAATTTAATGAAATATTCCTAAGCATTGTCACGCATCATATAACGTCAATCCATGACATAAAATTAGATTTTGCCACCATCAATTTTGAACTGAAGTTTATAAGTACATCAGTTTTTATATTTCATAAAAGGATTTTCATTTATGTATAAATCTATAATCATCACATTTGTTTTGACAAGATTTTTTATACAAGTCGGATTTATGTCAAAAATCAATAATGATTTTCTTCTAAATTAATAATAAAATGGCGTCGTTTACTTTTTAAATTCCTGTAGTATAAGATGATAGTCATGTCATTTTTTCTTAAATATATATTTGAACAATTAATAGACTAAAATAAGTCGAGTAAAATAAATCAAGCGAAAAGAAAATGTGAAGATTTGTGTTTTCTCTCACCTCCACAATTAGAGAAAATTTTTTTAGAAAAGAAATATACATTATTAACATACATATATATAACAAAACAAATATTAATTTATCTGTTAGAAAAGTTGTAAGGATTAGATAAACAGATGATTAATCATTAAACGTTGTTTGTCCTTCACGCTGTACAGCTTAAGCATATGTAAAAAGAAAAAGTAAAAAGTGAATTAAAGAAAAGAAATTGACAATACTATCGTATGATTGAAATTTTTTATTTGTATTTTTCTTGAATGTGTTTGTCATTGGTAAGTGTATAAATATTACAATGTTCAATAATTTTATCTTAAAAATTATTATTATTTATTTAATTATTTTATTCTCTATTTTTAATCAAAATATAATACTATCTAAACATGTATCATCATTAAATAATCAAAATAGTGAAATATTTATGAATAATATTAAACAATTATCATTCATTCATTCAAAAGAGGTGAGAAGTTCTGAAATAACACATCATATTAAAAATGCTGGAATTACTTATACACATCGAATAATTAATGGTCAATGTTGGATAAAATATAATAATAGTTTATTAGCTGAAGGAGAAATATTAGAACATAGAAAAAAACTATATAAAGTAGAAGATTGTCTTTTGGAACGTGCCTATCATGTATGTGGACCAAATATTCTCGTTGTATTAAAATTTGTTTGTCGACTCGCTAAAAAATATACAGAAGCAACATACAAAACAGGAACAAGCTCGCCTTTAACAACATTTTATCGTCATACAAGATCTGCAAAAATCCTAACAGAATCATGTTGTCGAAATATATGTACAATACCAGAATTAACAAGATATTGTCCAAGAAAAAGTTAAACTTATTTATTCAATCAAATTCAAAGTGTTTTAGGTACGGTAAGTTATTGATAATTGTATGTTTGTTAATGATGAAACAATCTTGAAAATTGTATTCTCATTTAATAAAATACAATTTATTAAAAAATTCTTATATCAAAAGAAATATGAATTGATTCAAAATATTTAATTTTTTTCTTTTTTAAATTGTTACACAATTGTATCGGATCCTACCATCATAATTTATCGCTCAACTATATCGTTGTTCGCTCAAATTTTAGCGAAAACTAGCTCCGCTTTTTAATCACACAGTATATCAGCACTGTGAAATAACAACGGCTTAAACACAAAAATCAATATATGACGTGATGATAAGAACAACGGCTTAAAAGTTGTAGTAAAAATAGAAAAGAGAGCGTGACGAAATTTCAAAAAACAGAATTTTTTTTTCTGGATTTTGAACCTCAAAGTGAGACATTGTTTCTTGGTATGCTTTATATAACAAAGTATCGACCATGACAGAATTTTAGCCGTGATAGAATTTTATGCTTCCAATGTAGGTGTTTTTTATCGCTGAAATTTTGACTTGTGAATAAATCCACCCACCTTTTTCTTGTTTTCTGCTGTACAAACAATCATTTTGTTTCTATGTATCAGATGCAAAAAAGAATCACTATAGCTGGTAGTGAAAACATGAACCAAGTACAGCTAAACAGAATTACACTACAGAAAAACGTTTTTTTTATCAAAGAAGAACGAACCCTGAAAATGCAGAATAGTGAAATTCTGTCATGCTCTATTTCGTATCTTATCTCATCAAAAATTGATCATAATTTAAAAAGCAGAAGCCACTCGATAGGGCACACCGAGACCTACCCACCTGCTTATTTTGTTTATTATTCTATTACATAGTTTGAGGGTAGTAAACAAAACAATAGAGTAGACTAAATAACAATAACAGCGCTTAGATTAAAGAAACGCCCTTTGATTGATGATGATCAAAATGTACTGGCTATTTAGATCAGCGTAATACCTGTTATATACATATATATGATATGTATATAATAACAGGTATGTTATATACATATATATGTGACAGTTAGCTGTCCAAGCCACATTATTTCTTTTCTTATATAGAATTATAGGGCAATGTTTGGTTTTTAATATCTCTCGAATATCAAAATATTTTTGTTTAGGAGATACATTGAAAACTTTATTTCAAAAACTTTGATAATGAAGCATCATTTTTAATCACTTTTTCAAAATTCAGATGGTGTCACGTACAGTTCAATTGACGGGCTATCGAATGGTGTAAGATTTTTTACTCCAAGTGCACTCATTTTCGGAAAACTGTATCCTCCCCAAAACGCCTGAAAGCTAGCGACCTCGGAGAAAAATAGTTTTTTTAGTAGACTCAGTGGTCTAAGGTTTAAAAATTTTACACATCCTGAATCTACGCATCCTCCTCCACAAAACTGTAAAAATTTATCATTTCTAGGCCTGTCAAATCAGAGAAAAAAATTCGACTTCGAGACTAACGAGGAGACCTACCCAAGTGATACCTTCTGATTTCGTTCGTTCATATGTCGATCGATAGAGGGTATCAAGCTAGTAAAAAGCATTAAAGGATATCTGCTGACGGCTCTTGAAGACCCGTTTTTGTGGAAAACCAGTTTTTCAAGAACTCTAAAAAATAACCAAAACCTTTTTTTATATATATGAGATCATGTTCCGAAAGAATGATTGACGCTCTTCTGACGTTCGAATTTTTACTATACCTGCTCGTAGAAGAGTCTTCCGATATAAGTTAAACCAGTATGAACTAATTATTTTGTCGAATATGAAACAGCTATTACAGTCAACAAAAGTATCATTGTGTATTCAATAACAATACAATTCATTGTTTATTGTATATCAATCGTCGAATTTAAATTATTTGTTCTCGTTATCTTGTCGCATTAATCAACGGAAAACTTTTATAATGAATTGACATGACTTTAGTAAATGCTTGAGCTTCGTATGGACTGAACTCAAAACTTTGAGTCCATATGAAGCTCTATTGTGTATCATTATTTTTAATAATAAAAATGAGTTGAACATTCTAAATTGGTCTCATTTTTGAATAATAATCTCCAATGCTCATGAGGTGATCGATGCTTCAATTACTGAATTTACATAATTGAATATAGGTATCAGTAACATTATTTAGTATAGTCCACAGTGTCTACTTTCTAATGGCATAATTTTTGTGTCGATAGGATAGATTTTTCATAGGTTATGAGCGACTTTTCCAGAATCCCTATAGCACAAAAAATGGCGTTTTTGCACTCTTATTGCATAAGCGCACGCACGTGCCGTACATGTCCGTGTATGTACTCATTAGATCCGCCATGACCGATAACCTATAGCAAAGTATCAACAAATTATTTGACACTCAAATAGTTAGTTTTTAAGTAAAACGCATTTAACAGAATCAAACTTATTTTGTGTTTTTCTCAAGGCTGCTTTTTAACCCTGGGACTTTCGCCACGCCACGCATAGGAATTTTCGGTAACGATACATCGGAGAAAGAAAGTTTTTCTTTTTATGTATAGATAACACCTATAGCTAGGAGTTGACATAGCCAAAAACAATTTCGTTGCCGCACTTTGACATGGTCAACATCCCCTGAAAGTTTGGCTCAGATCAGACCCACCTAGGCTGAGATAGGTTTCTGACCCGGGGAGCCTTAACGATGTTAATTGTGAAACTTAACGTTAGACTAAGGTTTAACTGTAATCCGATATTCATTTCATTGTGATGTTGACAAACAAAATTTTTTGAAAGAATAAATAATGAAAGTAAACGGATAATACTAAAGACATCATTGAATCATTTTTACCGATACAATTTTTTTAAAAATTAATCAAATTCTGTAATTTTAATTAATATATTCAGTAGTTTTCACACTCGATCACATAGTATGTTTGAAACTTGTTCAAAATACTTTTTGTTGTTGATATATTTTTACTGTTCATCTTCGTGATTCTTTCAAAACATCCATACCATATGTTCTATTTTTAACGCAACTGTATATTCACTTACTTTTTTGTTAATATTTAATCAACCTTTAAGTGCTTTGAATTCAAAATAGAAAAAATATTTAAAGTAGAACGATTTTCCACTTTTCGGAGAATGGTTTGTATTTTTTAGAGAACGAATATTTTTTATTGCTGAAAATAAAACGGATGAACGAAAAGAGAACGGCTAATATTGTTTGGAGAACGATTTTTGAATTTTTTTGACGAAATTAAAAATAAAGCATGTAGAGACGCAAATAGAGAGAAGTTAGACCTAAATCTACATCACGTGATGAATAATATGACTGTGGAACATACTCGCGATAGATTTCATCATCTTTTAACAAAACATAAGTATAAATACGTAGTCAACATGAGCAATTCTAAAATTCAACATAGTCTAAAGTTATACCCAGACGCGATTAGAAAGTAATCTATAGAAATCATACAAATTCAAAAACCGTTCTCCAAACAATGTTAGCCGTTCTCTTTTCGTTTATCCGTTTTTCTTTTAGTAATAAAAAATCTCCGTTCTCTAAAAAAAGCGAATCGTTCTCTTTTAAATTTTTGTCCAACATAGTGGACAAAATTTTTAAATTGTAAAAATATGCTTATTTTATTAACTATCAAATTTTATCATGGATGGAAGTTGTCTTTATGCAATTATTCTTATATTTAAAAAGTAACAGGTAAATTAATTGTTGGAAAATGATGCAGAGATTATGAATTTTTTTTCTTCTTCTTATGTCGTATCATAACACTTTAAAAGCCAACTGAGAATGAAAAACAAACAAAATAAATAAATTAAGATATTATAATTAAAAATAAAAAATAGTCACAAAAAAAAGAGTAGCATGAATAGTGGGAGGAATGTCTGGTAAAATTGAACTGAGAAAATCAGTCAATTACTCATTGGATTCGGTAAAAATAAGTCATACATATAGTAAATATGAATAGAAAAAAACATATTAAATAAAATAAGAGATTGAATGAAACTGTTTAGAAATTGTGTACAGATCGATTGAAAAAAAGGAGCAAGAGTGCAATACACCGTTGAAAGAAAAAAATTAGTGTGCATTTAAACAAACAAAAAGAAAACAAAAAACGTTTTTTTTTTTTTTTTGTTATTATCCATTGATCGTCAAGTTTACTATTACTTTTTGTTTCGCAAATTTAAAAAAACAATTCATCCTATCCATATTGATCAGCTTTTAACAAGAGACATGTTTATAACAAATAAGATATGAAAACTGATGATTATCTATTAGACATATGACAGAATTAAGAACAACGAAAGAAGACTGTAGTATATTTATCAATATACGGAATATATTATTATTAGACTAGTTATTGGAAAAATAAAAGTTGCATTAAAATCTTCTCGAAATATTTTGAATCTTCTCAGGTAAGAAGATAAAACGTCAATGTCTATCATATATGTTGTTTTTCTAGTAATATTTTGAATTTTGCTTTTAATTATTTCATATACATTCTGTAAATGTAACAAATACAAGAAAAAAGAATAAATCGTATTTCGAAGATACAAGAAAAGACTTATACACGGTAAAAAAACAATATCATTTAAAACAAACAAAAAACCATAAAAATAAATACTATAAACAAAAATCAAAACACGTGACATTTTCTCTTTTTCTCTCTTCATATTACATAATTTTCAAATAAGATCTTGTTCGTTTATAATATTTTTGTGCTAATGAATTAATAATAGATACAATAAAAAAGCATATCATAACAATAACAATTATATTAAATATACGTGATAATACCGATGCTTTAGAAATATTAATAGGTTCTCCCGGTTTACGATGCATTTTTTTCTTTTGCACAATTAACCATTCTTTGAATGGTGCTTGTAATGAACGTCCATAATAAGGAATTTGTTTCATAATTTTTATGATACGTTCCATATGATGTTCAGAAAACAAAAATATAATAAATATTGTTTGTATTGACATTTTAATTAAAGCTTTACCAAGTACAGTGGCCGTAAAAAATGTCCAAAATGGTATTAAAAAATAACCGCACGTTATTCCAGCTAAATCAAATAATGGATTTGGTATACTTGCACATAATAATATACCCAAAAAACCGATACGTTTAATAAGACGAAATACAATATAACGCATACGTTCAAATAGAGATAAATTGCGTGAATTATTTAATTCAGCATTTAATAATAATTGTTCAAATTCTAATAGTTCAGGGTTATCATCTGTGTCTAAATTACGTGCACGAGCAGTACGTGCAACAAAATATGGTGGTAGTTCACCAAGGGCAGTACCTAAAATGAAGTAAAAAAAAAAGAGATAAATAATACCTCACATCGAAATAATGTTAATAATTCTAAAAATTTTTATTTTTAATATTGTTTACCTAAACCCCATAGAAACGCTTCCAATTTTACTTTCCACAATATTTTCCAAAAAGATATTGGTCCATTCATTAATGTAGATGATGTATCAAGTAATAATGATGCTAAATCTGATGATGTGTCACTTATCATTGAGGAAAACATAGTTGAATTTTCAGATGATGCTATTGGTGGTGTTAGGGTTGTTGTTGGACAAACAATTTCTAAATTTAATAGTCAATAAACATTTTGGTTATGAAACAAAAACAAAAACAAAATAAAACATACCATTTGGATATGGTGGTCTTGGAAATTTAATTGATCCACATTCATAAGCAGCTATTGTTACTTGCGCAATAAATGGACCCAAATAAAGTAAAAATGTATGTAAACCTGTACCAAGACCAACGGATGACATAATACCTAATCCTAACCAATATAATGACCATAATAGTATTGTTTCAATCTGACTAATTGTTTTTTGATGTCGACCTTCTGTATAATAAGTTGAAATTAAAATAATAAACAAAATTGTTAAAAATATTAATGTTTTTTTAAATGATATTAATTTTGTTAAATAATAACGTATCAAATAAAATAGTTCATAAATACAATATTGCATAGTTAACATTGGTTGACGCCATAAAACAAGTTTTGATAACTCAAGACGTAACATTTCTTGTTGTGATTTTCTCTTTGTTAATAATATTTCTTTTGATGATAATAATGTTGTAGAAGATGTTGATTTTTTATCACCTTTTGAATATTTAGATTTTTCACTTTTGGATGAAGTCAAAGAAGGCGAATGTTTGTGATATGATGGTTGTTGACTAAACAACAATAATCATATGTTTGATCTATTTTATTATTAATTTGATGTCAAATGATCGTCATTCAACTGAAAGTTGATTTTAGTTAATTATGAAGTTTGCTCACTGAAAAAGCTTAGCGATTTCTAACTATGGCGAACCAAATGTTTAGTATTTGAATATTTTACTCAAAAAATTACTTTATTTTTCACTTAAAGTTCACTTACTTGTTAGAATTATTTGAGGATGATTTTTTTGATGAATGTTGTTGTTGTTTAGAAGATTGACGTCGAAATGTTCCTGTTTGATTTTTCTTGTCCAAATTTGGATAAGAAGAAACGTTATGAGCTTCTTCAGATGTCAATGAGATTGCAGATAGTGGTGTATCTGTAGATTTTGGAGAATGATTTTTTGTTTTACTAATATAACCGTTTGTTTGTTGATTGGGATAATAATGATGAGAGTCACCACCGTTTTGTAATGGTTCTGTTAAATTATTCTCATGGGCTTTGCGCTTTTTAGTTGGCATGTTGAAATAATCTGACTCTGTTTGTTTTGTTGTTGAATCAAAGTCAAACTAAAATTAGAAATTTAAAAATCAAAAACATATGCTTTATGGTTCTTTGTTTCGATTTAAGTAAATCAAAGAAAAGAAGATCTGCATTAAACTCTACAATAACTGCTTAACATAAACGTAAAGTGACAGTTTCGACTTGAAAAAGGTTTTTGCACTTTTTATACAAGAATAAATCTTTCAATAAAAGATTTATTTGTTAAAATGTACAAATCGAGACTAGACCACTCATAAAGAAAAACTGTTCCACTATTCTATAAAAAACAAAGATTTCATTATATTTAGAATCAATGATACTAACAACCACTCCCGGAAATCAAGACACCACTGTTCATCCATCAAAATTGTTGTTTCGTTTTCGTTTGACTAAAAGTTTTTGTTGAAAAAAGAATATCTGGTATTACTTAGCCATGATTCAGAAGTACACGTGTTGAAGCGTGTCACCAGTCGGCAACAGTCTTTTACCGATTCTTTACCTTGGAATTATGGATGAGAAAAGCGTCACTATTTTTTTGTAAACAATACACACAAAATAAAATATACATTATCGATATTATTATAATGTACTATTTGCCAAAAAAAATTAAACGATTTTCTTTTTTCTCATAACAAAAAAGAAGAAATGAAAGAAAAAACAAAACACGTGAAGTTTTTTTTCAGATATATGTTAACATATACAAATAAGTATATACAGTTTTCGTGCATAGTAATCAGTTATGAGTGTAACAAAATTCGTACTAGTTAGAAAGTGCACGTCACTTAGCAGCTTGTATCCTCACAGAACGTAACGCGAAAGTAAAATGACTCTGAAAGATTTGAACTTTCATTTTTAAAAACCTTCACATGTATGTTATTCTTGAAAAATAATCGGTAACAGTATACGTTTGCTGAAGAAATGAATGAACAAAGAGTTCTTACTTGTCACATTTTTATTCAAAGACAAATAATTTAAAGAAATTTGAACGAAAATCATAATTGTGATAAAATATGTATTTTTTAATAATATATTACAGTAAAATCTAGCAATTATAAATCAACATAGTCTAAAACAACAAAAATATTGGAAACTGAACAAAACACACTATTGTTTAATACTGACGACCGAAACAGATTAGTCTTCGTATAGACTAATATTAAAACTCGTCAAGCAACGTATACCCTTGTGATTAATTATAAAGACTTTTCTTTTGTCGGATGTAGTTTTTATTTTTCCAGAACAATGCAATGACTGAATCACAATGCTACATCATTCCACATGTACAAATATTATTCAAATCAGCATGCAAGCACGCATGCTGATGTGTTATTAATCATTGATCTTGTATATATGGCACATGTTCTCAGTACCATCGAACAATTCTCTTTTAGTTCAAAATTACAAGCGACATCTTTCACTACAGCTTAAGAGTGTTGCCATTTAATATAAGATAGAAGAACTTACAGAAGACAAATAAAATCTGTGTTTTCATGCGTATTATAATTGTGGCATTTATTAATCGTCGCCTTGAAAATTGATTTTTTATTGGTAAAATAGACCTTTCAATTACAAGCTACGGTTTCTAACGGTGTGTACATATGTTATGTAGCGTTGTTTCCTTTTAGCTCTAAATAGTAACTCGAAGGAGAAACTAACTACGTCAGTTCGCATTGACCATGGCTTCTTGGACCTATCATTTGGAGCTAAAGGGAAACAAGATGAATTGATGTGCTTATATCATAGAATACACTTTTCGTCTGTTTCTGATTGTATAACTTCATTGTATGGAAGTTTTGGATCTAAGGAAGAATCAAAGAGGATTTCATTTCCTGTTTTCCTTTTTTTATGATCTGTTAGAACAGCTAAGATTTCCACTATTCTACACTAGTGCAACACATCGTAAAGAAAGAAATATAGAAAATGAGATTCCAATGTAGTTGTTTAAGTATAGAATAAAAAGTTACACAGGAATCTGTTAATAATCTGCTGATGAGTCATTGTCATCTGAATACATACCAATAGTTCATACTAAATTCATTCATTCGTTGTATGTTGTTCTTAGTATGCAAAGCTGAAATATTTGATTTTTTTTCTGAAACCACGACTAAAGAAAATTTTTCAGAACAAGCAAATAAATAATTTGAATAACGACAGAAATGACCACGATTTGTACGAAAAAAAAAACACAATAGCTTTGTGATTCTATTTGCACAACTGATCGTAGAAAAACAATTTGTTTTCTCATATGTATAACTGACCTAAGTAAAAAAATTATATGTTAGATGAGAGTAAGATATTTAAGAATACATTAGAAGATGAGATACTGCTGGTAGCTCGGGAAAGAGATAGTAGAGATATCGTCAGAGAAATAAAAAATAATCGACGATCATGAGAGTGTTTTTTAATGTCTACGATAATTGTTTTCGCGATCAGTTGTAAAAATAAAATCAGAAACATTTTTTTCTAAAAGTTCGGATCATTACTTTTCCTTTTATACAAATTTTTATAAACAGAATCATTTATTTTCACATGTAGAATTGATACCTCGAGGATTCTGAAATATTGACTTATTTTTATTTTCAAACTAGCATAAACTAAGCATTTTTATGGTGTTTTGATTACCGTGATATAATTTTGAGCTAACGAATGTAAAAGATTATCGTCAGTTTTTTTTCAGACTAGTCGATCTGCTAGCGTCTTTTTCATTTTCTCCAAGCCGTGGTATTTGAACAGGTTTACATAGTCTCGCAGTAGAAAATGCAAGAAAGAAGCTCTGTGCTTAGTTGGTGTCTGCTTTATCACTGGAAATGGTAGCTATCATTTAGTGACCAGCAGAGTTGTAGAATCTGCCTGTTTGCTCCGACGGTCGTCGGGAAAATCTTTTTAAAAAGTTTCAACATATTTACTTCACTGTTTTATACATCCTTTCATTTGTATAGTTTGAGATTGTATGTAATTTCGATTCTTGCAGAACATTTAGAACATGTATAAAAATTTATGTTGTAATTAATAACTATGTAAAGCCAACGTCTATCTGACAAATTCTTCAAGTTTGTATTTGGTAAGTGTTTTGTCTATTAAATTTTAAGATACTTTGTAGATATCACTATGTTTTATATGTCTCTCATATGAAAACTTTGATATAACTCCAAATGTTAAGTATTCTGTGCAATGGATCAAATATAGTTCCAGTTTCTCATCTATAACGGCAGACAAACAATTTGCTCATCGTCAGGCTGGCTCATCCATGTTGTTGGTTCTTCAAAAGTTGTAATTCTTTTCAGCTGTCTCTCTTGATTAAAGACGTTGACCTTTTTCAGCAAAATAATCCATTTCTAAGACAGGTGTTGATCATGTCGGTCTCGATGTAGCTCATTTCCTCTTCATGAATCTGTGTAAAATAAGCTGTGAAAAAACAAACCTATGGCTATTTATTATACTACTATTTTTATACAACATGTGGCTATTTTATTTGTCTGTAGAGCTATTTTCGTCGTCGAATATGCATGAATAATTTTGCATTTTTTGCATATTCTTTCCCTTCATTTTGCAGTCTACAGCTTGTCTGATTGTTTTAAAAAATTCATTTTTCGTGAATTCATCTCATGGTACATTTCATCTCCCTTATCGTTCACTCTTACCTTGTGCGGTCATGCAATTGAAAGCAAAATCGACTGTTATAAGCTATCATTTTTATATTTACTTTTGACAAACGATTTGTGGAAGAACACATGCATAATGATGGCACCTTTATACATTTACAATATTTTATGATACAACTGACATACCGTATTTTAACTGCGAACAAAACAGAATTATAATCAAATGTATTCTTCACTCTTTATCTCCCACAATTGGTTATGTCGTGTGAACTTGAAATTCATTATTTACACTTGATTAGGTATGCACCAGTACCGGTACCAGTAAAAGTGCTCCACAAAAGTTTAAGATCTTTTTTGTTTTTGCAATAACTCAACTTCCTTGATAGATACAGACTCCGTTCTTTCGCCAAAAGAAAGCCTACGTTGAGTACTATAAACCCTGAGAAAATGGTTAAGTTCTGGCTTAATTTGATTGAGCTAAAGCAAAAACGCGGTGTTTTACGCAATTGGAAAATCTTACTTCCTGAGTATTTCACGTTTTCTAACCAAGAGAATTGCGCGAAAAAATTTCAAAACACATCATTCGATAGAAAAGTTTACGGGCTATCCTTTGCTGATCAAACTTTCAGCTTTTGAGCATATCTTCACCACCAAAATCTTGTTTTAGTTAGAGCGGAGAAATCGAGGTTTTTCCATTTTTTGGGCCAGCTCTAACTAAAAGAAGTTTCTTTAATGTCAACGATATATGTAAAGAATTAACATCGATGGTGCTAGCAGAGAATTTATTTACTAACGACTGAAAAAAGCATTATTTTGAAAGAATAACTAGAATATTAAAGAATAGAAGACAAGGATTAAAAACACGAGTTTTTTCTATCTGTGAATGTCGCTCGAGATTGAAACGTTATGTAAGATGCGCACAATGCAAACTTGCGCCAAAAATTCTTTTCGACTTTATTATACACCATTCGCTAGAGTTTTTCGAGCTGATCAAGAATATGTAGTTGTTAATTTTTCGAAACTTTTTTGTGTCAAGAGATGTTTGTTTTGCTCAAAAGTTGAATTCTTGATAGAGAAAAACTGAGAATTACGAGCAGAATTACGACGTTTTCGCCTCAGATTTAGAAAAAATGAATTTTTTCGACAATGAAGCAAAATTTTAAAAAAAGCGAACCCTACTTTTAAAGCTGGGCTCACGGCAGATACTATACCATTGATACGACGGTTCCATCCCTTGACACAAAATACTAGATAAGTTTACAAGATGGCTCATCTTTCTTTTTCAATGATTCATTCGAACGTCTATGGTGGACAGGCGTTTACCTTCGAAATGAATTTAATATCATTTTTTAATTCAGCTTTTAACGCTGAATACGAAAAAATAGTTTGAACGTTCCGACTAAAATCCCAAGTCGAAAAATCTAACTTTTTCGAACAACGTTGTTTTTTCGAGTTTTTTCGACACGAAAAAAACGTTTCGAAAGATTAACAACTACATATTCTTGATCAGCTCGAAAAACTCTAGCGAATGGTGTATAATAAAGTCGAAAAGAATTTTTGACGCAAATTTGCACTGTGCGCATCGTTATATATTATTATTGTTAGAAATAGTCAAACGCCTCTCAGAAAAATGATTGATAATTGATACGTGAAGTAATTATGTTCGCAGTGAGTAATGACGGTGTTTGATGTGTAAATTGTCGTGACATTTGTAAAACACTTAGCTAGTAAAACTAGTTTTCAAACAGATGGTTTTATCACACAAAAATTGCATTTTTGCTTTCTTCGTTTGTAAAATAGATGACAATATTTTATGTACGATAAAAAAACGACTTTTTTGTATTACGATCAACATACGCGTTACTCAAATTTTACATGATTTTTTTTCACTTTTTACACACCTGTGCAATACGATGTTAACTTTTCTCTATATTTGTTTTTCAATCAAATAAATTTAATTTATTTGTAACTGATCATTCTGCGTCAACTACATTTGTTGCGACCACTAAGTTAATCCGCTACTCCTTCAGTCGTCGAAGTAATATATGCTTGTAACGTTTATGGTACTTTAATTTTACATATTTGAAGCCAATAAAACTAAATTTATTGTAACATGAATAATTAGTACAATAAGATTAAATAATAATAAGTTTAAAATCATTGATGATTATTCTGGTAGAGATTATGCTGTTGTGACGCTCGACGATAAAGTATTAGGAAACAGAAAACGTATACGGTCGATAGTACGGGCAGTAATGATGATGATGTATGTTTATTGTTAGCTCCTGTACTTACTATCCATTTATGCTATCGTAATGCAGAAGATGAATAAATCATTTCTTTTTCGAAATATTTCATGTTAATCCTTTATGATATATATACTAAACAAGTTTTTCATGATATTTTTTTTGTTCAAGTTTACGAGTTTTGTAAATAAGTTGACTTGAATTTCAAAGTATATTTCTTGCAAGTATTCGATTAGTAAAAGAAGATGATTTTGAACGTATGTTGAACAGAAGGTGTGAAGTTTATATGCAGTACACTTTTTTAAAACTGTGTATGATTGTCTAGAAAATGCTATAAAGCGAGATATTTCAGTATACTCTTCTCCGTAGTCGTTTTCGAGTTCTCAATAGTGACAAACCATTTCTATGTCTGTTCATAGATTATTCTTCGATAATTCTGTTCTTCTCGTTCCTTCAATTACTGTTAGTTATGTTCCGTTAATAATCAATCACTCATGACTTTGTAAGAATATTTAGTTAATGATACAACAATAATAACAACTCAACAAAGACACTATCAAAAATGAACAAAATCGTTTATGACAAAAAAGTGTTTATCTATCAGGCAATTTTATGAAACAGTCAGAAATGGTCTAGACCACATCAGCACTTTGATGGGATATATCTCTTCTGTTTTACAGGATTTGAGAAACAACACCTAAAATTGTCAAAAAACTAAGGCATATACCACATGGTGCCTTCATTTACTGATGCTAAAGAAAATAGTATCAATCGGGAAGTTGTGATTTCTCGTACAAGATTCAACAACATTCAAATTATGACGATTTAGTTGAGAACTTTTCGGAAAAGTCCATAGAGACAGCTTCTTATGTCTTTTTAAATGAGCGTTACAAGAATATATTTGCTATTCAAGATTTATTAATTATTCTGTTATAGACAGACATAGAATACGTAAACGAGTACAAGTGCTTCATCTAAATTCATTCGAAAGATCAACATGTTCAATAATCAATTTAGAAAATCTTGTTTCTGCTTCTTACAGATATTATATGAGATCTGGTGTACAAGTGAAAGAATTGAAGACGATGTATAAAAAATTTTAGCCAAATAGCAGATTAACATATACACCTCAAATGAATGCTCTATCTATATCATATCTATATCGGTAATCAATATAGCGATTCATCTTTATGTAGAATGATAGAAACGTATTACAGCTATGTTCTACATTTGTATAGAATTTGTATCCAGTCTGTTCACTTCTATAACTCGACACGTGTGTATATGTGCTTTCTGTACCAAATAAAATATTTTAGTGAAACGTGTCTAAACTGAACAACTCTATACGTAAGACTTAGTCCTAGTGAATGTATGTAAGATCAAATACTTAGACACATACAAATTTCGAAAAGTAATTAATTAATTATTTGAAAAATATTTTTATAAATCAATTTGACAAATATTTACTGAAATATTAAAATTCATAAGTACTTTTTTTACTTTTAAAAAATCCAAACACTTGTATACACATACATTTACTAGGATAGTGATCCGATAAACTGTCTGGAGATTTTATCATATCATATTCAATAAGAAACATTTCACATTAATTAAGTCAAATAACTTAATACATCTACTACTTTCATTCTATTTCAGATTTTAATGTAAAATTGAACATGTCAGTTATAACAGAAGATATTAAAAAAACAGCGCATGAAAAAGTACAATGGTTGTTAGAGACGATGTGTCGTATTCCAGTTAAACCACAAACACCAATCGATTATTATTATAAATCATCACAAGAGTTATTGGATCAAGCTGATGTTCACTATAGATATGGTGTGTACTTTAAAGAATTTTCAAGAAAAAAAAATATATCTTCACTTTAGGTCGATTAGAAGAAAGTTTCATATTATATTCACGATATATCATGTATGTTGTTTAACTTTATTTGAATCATAATATAAATCGTTTTTATTTTCTTTAGTCTGCATGCTGAAGGATTGAGAAAACTTCATCCCAATTATTCTTTGGTATCGAATATAGAAAAAAATCACGTAAATGAGGTAAATTCATTTTACATTTATCATCTGTTAATTACTGAATGTTAACTTTTTCTTCTTTTGTCATTTTGTAGGTAATTAAAACAAGAGCATTTCCACGTGCTGAAGAACTCAAGAAAAAACTTCAAGATAAATATGAACAAAATATTAGTCTCTCATCGGTTTGTATTTTGTATTTAGATTATAGAAATTCAAGATTTACATAATATAATTATTTTAGGATGAACTCAAACGAGTAGAATCTTCGGATGTTAGTGAAAATAGTACTTTTACAAAAGGAGCAAAGTAATATACATCTTAATCTCTTTGTAAGACTGAAATTGTTGATATTTTTCTGATTTTTTTTAAGTAATCACAATGAAAATGATGTTGTACCTCAAAAAATTAAATCAAATTATGTTGATTCTCAGCCAGGATTAATAACAAAAAATATGTCTGTTGTACCGGCAACGGATAATGTTCAATTTCAGATTAGAAAAGAGTTAAAGAGAATAATTTTTCGATTTATATATAGTTAATATTTCATCTCTTGTCTCTTTCTAGACCCCAAGTTGATCGTTCAACAAAGCCGAATTATTCAAATTTGATATCTTATCGTCGTGTTGTTATACCATCAGGTAAAAGTATTTAACTATGAAAAATTAATATTTGTTTTACAATCGTTTTTTTTTCATTTTAGATATAACTACAACATTTTTGAATGTTGCTCAACAAAATACAACACGAAATATTGAAACATGTGGAGTTTTAGCGGGATCAAAGGTAAAACATTAGAGATTGTTTTGTTTTTTTTAATATTGAAATGTAAATATTTTTTAATTCTAGACAGATAATAATCAATACATAATTACACATATTGTTGTTCCAAAACAAAATGGAGGTCCAGGTAAACTTTTAATCAAAATGTTACATTTTTTCATAGGTATGATGTATTTTTACCGTTGTAGATTCATGTGATACAGAGAAAGAGGAAGAAATGGTTGAATATATTACAAGCAATGATTTAATTACTCTAGGATGGATACATGTAAGTTCAAGAAATCATTTTTAACAACTTTAAAATATTTATTTTCAATCAATTTAAATAGACGCATCCTAGTCAAACAGCATTTTTATCAAGTGTCGATTTGCATACTCATTTATCATATCAGATGTTATTGTCAGAAGCTATAGCAATTGTCATAAGTCCAAAATTTAATGTGTAAGTAATATTTTAAATACAAAAATAATCAAATTATATAATTAATTGATTGATCATCTAAAATTAGAAGATAGTTTTTAAACAATTTATTTATTAATAAAAATTTCTTCAAAACAAGATACAATTGTTGATCAAGTAATAGAAATGACTAGATTATACTACTTTTTATATTTTCTTCAATAAAACATATTATTATTTTAATTTAACATGATAAATGTTAAATATAAAAGAGCAATCTATTTTTGGAAAATAAATCATTTATTCCATTTTTTGTTTTGAGAACTGGTATATTTTCATTAACAAATGATCGAGGTATTCCAGTTCTATCAACATGCAATAAAACGGGTTTTCATGAACATGCAAATAATCCACCATTATATCAGGTTAGATAAATAGCCAAAACTCTTTTCTTTCTACTTTTTCTATATTATTATTTTTCACAGTCTTCATCTCATATATCCCATGATGCAACTATTCAATGCAAAATTGTTGATTTACGAAATTAATTTTATTTGTTGTTAATAAATGCATATTGATAATAAACGTGATATAATACATGACTCTGTTATTTTTTTGTTTTCTATATTAAAACCTCATATTTCTCTTGTAGCTAAACCTTTTTTTTCTCATGATTATTTTTGTATATTCTTGATTGATTAAAAAATTCAATTTCTTTAGGAATGACTATGCAGACATATCATTTTTATTTCAGAAGTTTTTGTCATTTATTTATCTCTATTTGATCGTTTGTTTTACACGATCATCCTTTTTTCATAATTAAAAACATTATTTTGTACAGGCGATTGTTAGACAAAACATTATTTGCCAAGTTTTCTGCCTTCCTTTATACTTATCAATTATTAATGTCATCATAGTTTATTTTCTATAAGATCTTTGAAACTATAGCTAACTTTTACTCATAAACGGATTCTTTTTTTCTTTTATAAAATGTATGTATAAAATGTTTCTAGAGGTATATAAACACCTGTAATAGGAAAAATGTGAACAAAGTGTGATCTATTGCATGTTAAACATAATTAGATTTCAGTCAAAAAAATATGTTTGTGTTTTTTTTTCTCTTTTTATATTTGTCACCGTCCTAATTGTTGTATTTTTGTCGATAAGAATTGTATCTTTTATTTCTATCTTATTTGTCTATGCATGTCTATTAGTTAATTTTTGTTTAATACCTCATTTTTGTTATTCCAGACACAAATAGAGAATAAATCAAAAGAATATTTTCTAATCAAAATTACGTAACCTGATAAATCATAAAAGATGTTGATAATTGAAAATGATAAATGGAGAATATTTGATTGAAGAAAGAGTTATAGATGTTGTGATAATTGTGATCGATGTTTCGTAACTGTCGAATTATTATTTAGCATTATATATAATTGTTGTTAAAGTTCAGTTTAAAAAGGCAGATGAAAATGTGTTTGATCATAAACTCGTTATAATTTTTATTTCTAATAACAATCATGATGGTTGGCTCTTACAATATCGAATGAAATTTTTAATTATAACACAAATTAGTATTTAGTTAGTAGTTTGCCAACGAAATCATAAATTCAATGTCAATGGTGAATACTCCTGCCATGTTTCGACAATTTATCAATCAAAAATACAGTGGCATTTTTTATCTAGCGGACGAACAATGCATGTCAATATTTTAGCCTCATGTCCATATAACTTTATTCGCACAGGCTCTTCTGAAATCAAAGAATTTTATCCAAATGTCTAGTCCTGACTCGGTTAGTATGAGTGATATTTCAACATAGTGCCTAAAGAAGAGAATGAGAGCAATTATGGATAGATAGATAGGTGGAATTTACCCAATAAATCCATATTGTCTACGAGTTATCAAATATTTCCTATAACAGGAGCACGTATGAAATACAATAAACTATCCGTATCTTTGGCAACAACATTAGTTTTATTCAAAAAAAGAATTTACGCAGTTCATTTCGTATTCTGTATTAAATAAGTTAATGTCGAGTCGTCTATAAAATAAATAAGTAGTTTGTTTATGTGCACACTTTTTACGATCAATATTCTAAAATGATAGTCTCCAATTGAATCGTAGATCACGATTTAGAACTTTGTTACTGATGGAAAAAGTTTTATTCGCACTTGTTTACTCTGTTGCACTAAGATTTCTGTTTTCGTGAATTCATCATTTATCATATATTAAAATCGAACAAACATAAGTTTGAAATGTTTAACAAGCGATTAGTTCAAAAATACTTTAAAGAATACTATACGAATGATTGTGATACGATTTTTACAATAATTTAATATGATTTTCGAATTTAAGAAAAATGATAATGTTAGTCCGAATTATCTCACCATCGTTCAGATAATATTAACTGTGTTTAATGGTGAACTATTTTTGAATAATATGTTTATTTTATAAATTTCATATTTTTTTTATACATTTTGATTATTTTGATGCCTTTTTTTTTGCGCATTAAAAATAAATCAATGTCGCTTTCTTATAATAGAAAGCAAAGTATTGCATTCAAGTTATGACTCAAACGAGGTTAGATGTAAAGATTAGTCACTTTTCCATTTATCGTTTGAGTGAAATATATCAATTGGTTTAAGAAACAAAATAACAAAAATATATTCTTTTTTGTAAACAAGTAATAAGCAGATATTATATGTTTGTTATTTTAATACTCAATTTTAGATGAATATCCTTCTTAGAAACTCTTCACGTCCGATGTTCATATGCTTGCACAGAACACGTCAATATTCTACTATTACCAATGATTCGATGATAAAATCATTATTAAAGCAGATAAAAATATATTCACAACAACGATCAATATTTTTAAGCCCCTATCTTCGTTTACCAGCTGAAGGAAGAATGGGTTATCCATCCGAAAAGTATGAGCCAACAACAATAACTGCTCTAGATAAAGAAGAAGACAAAAACATCAAACCATTAATTAGTGGTTTATATAATGATGGATTCCAGTTGAACAACGAAATTCGAATTGTCGGTGCAGTGTTTGCTTTTCCTAGACAATTTATTTGTTGGAATGTGGGTATTCAGCAGAAATAATTGAAATTTTACCTCAAACAAAAATAAAAAAAATACATCAATTTTCTTATAGGTTTTTGAACCAGAAGATATGACACCGGAGTCTTTATCGATTTTATCTGTTATAGAACCGAAACCGGGTATATTGAACTCAGCCTTCTCATGTCATTAATCGCAATTATTTATTGCTTTCTTCCTTTAGATATTTTTATATTAGGAATTGGTTCACCAAACAATCAGTTACCGAAAGAAACAATTAAATATCTCAAAGATCTCAGAATTGGCTTTGAAATATTACCGACAGTAAGCCATCATTTTCACTAAATTTTATACTTTCTCTTATATTTGCTTATTTGTTTAGACTCAAGCTGTTGAAACTTACAATTTTTTATTAAATGATGACCGTTTGGTATATGGTGCATTTTTTCCCGAAAAAGATATTAAAGATTCAATGTATGGATTACGTCAAGCAATAGCAAAAAGCCAATATTACGAATCAACCGAAGATTATACAAAAGGCGAATCTTTAAGTGATTCACTACGAAATGTTGTTGAGACATATCGAGCATCAAAATTGGGATCAGATAAAAAATATATACAATCACCATTAATGGGAAAAAACAGTACAGATGAAAATGAGAGTCAGATTAATATATCAAATTCGGAGGTGAAATCATTAACAGGAACAAGCGTCAAGGAAAAGAGAGCGACAAAAAAATTAACTAATAATGATGAAATAAATAAAGCTTAGTTTTAATTATATTTTGTTATTAAATTATTTTACAAGCTTTTTTTTTCTTTAAAATTGTACAATTTATTCAATGATAGGATGTATCAGGCTAGCAGATATTTATCGCTTTTCTTTCTGAAAAGACTACATTATGTTTGACTACGAACTGACAAGATGATCTATGGTTACGTTCTGCTACTAGTGAAGGTCATCAAAATAAAAAAAATCTGGCAAAATAATACGTCAGAATACAATATTCCGTACACATAAGTTCTACCTCCCTGTCTCGCTTATCTATTAGTCCGAATTTAGAAAATGATCAACTAAATGAGTTATTATGGATTGCAATAGAGTTTTTTTTTGGTACGATCTCAATCAACTGTAAAATTGATATAAACCAAGAACGTATTGTATCAGCAAGAGATCAGTGGTAGAAAAATTGTTATGCATTCAGTTTTTCAGTATCAGTGAATAATATCATTAAAAACATTTCTACAATGGCAAAAGTTTTAACGACAGCTAAAGTTTGCGCTCCTAATTTATTGGTATGTAACAGCATTTAATTTTCTTGTTTTATGCGTTAAAGCACATGGTGTTTTGTTTGTTGGTTTAGCTTTTGACAAAAAATCCATCGTCGACTCGATCATCAAATCGTTCATATACAATTCAGCAATCATGCCCAAGAACAACAGGACATTCACTAATAACACAACAGCAATTACATATTTTAACCAGAAATCACAATCCATTTGTGAACTCAAACAACTTTACGTTAAATCCAGTTCTCATACTGGTAAGAGGATAGATACTGTTCAACTTGGTTACTTTTATTGTCGTTGAAGACATTCTCTCTTTTGAGTGAAGGTATGTTTCAATCAGTTTATTTTTTCATTTTAGTTCCGTGGTAATGCCCAACAACCGAAAGGTTTTCTATCAAAGTTGATGGATGATATACAAGAAGAATTCAGTAAAAATAAAGATATTAAGGTAGATGAATATTATAAATAGTCTCTCTCTCTCTCTCTCTCTCTCTGAAGTTACTAAATTGTATCATTTTTATTTGTCTAGGATAATATTAAGAAATTCAGAGAACAAGCGAAAAAACTAGAAGATTCAACAGCTTTAAAAGAAGCACGCGACAAATACGTAATGGTTCACTGGATTTTAAATTTCGATTATCTTCATAATTGTTTCATTTTAGAAAACACTTGAACGTGAAACAATGAAAAGTTCGACAGTCATACGAGAGAAGATTGATCAGATAACAGAAAAAGTTAAAGACGTATGTGTTTTGCATATAATATGAGTGACAGATGATTATGTACATTTATTTTAGAGTGACGTCATGAAAAAAGCGTCTGAACTTGGTCAAGAAATGGGAAAACAAGCTCAAAAAGCGGCGGGAAAAATATCAGAAACAACTGAACAAATAACAGATACAGTTACATTCAAAAAAGTATCTGAGGTATATGTAGTAATAAACGTAGTGTTTGTGCTGTTGACTGAGAACGTTTGTTTTGTGTGTATATGTAGAGGCTGAGCACAATTAAAGAAGAAGTTGGTGACGCCACAAAATTAACACGACCATTAGGTTATTGCCCACCAAAAGTATTACGTAAACGATCGGAAACAGATTTGTTAAAAACAGAAAAAATTTTTGATGCTAATACGTACGTAAATACAATTTAACCCTTTCTTGCCTCTAGTTAAACCTGAAGCCTGAAGGTCTTGAACCAAAATATTATAGGGGTTATAGGTTATCGAGCATGCTGATGCCGAATATGACCATGGAGGCTTCCCATAGATCTTCGAAGATCCAGCCTTCTGGAAAACCAGTTTTTCAGA